CTCTGTTACAAATGTAACTAGCTAATTTTATATACAAACAACCCTGAAAATACGTCTGCGAGCTTCCAGCATGTTCCATATGACTCATCTGGTCACGTCGCAAGAGTAAATAGAATAGGAAACACAATATCACAAGTGACAAATTATAAAACAATAGAAAGTGGCTGCAGAAAACCCAACCTGCATCTCCAGCCCAAACCACTTGACACAACTGCGCTCTCTTTATGTCAACCAACTCGCCTAAACTACAGCTATCTACCGCAACAAACCGCATCCAATTTGATGGAGAATTGAGTGAGATAGCATTGAGGTGGGGAATATCCGGCACATTTTCCTAACTTTCCAACCACAAATTGCCATGGTCCCAAAATTGGCACATCCTCCCGAACAGCCATACCATGAACAATGGATATTTATCCCCATTTTTATGAAGCCTGAGGGATGCCAGGGACCATCTGTGCACCCATTTCCCACATGTGTGCAATGAACATGTGACATGCATCGCGATACACAACTGAAATCTGCATATCTTGTCAATATCTCACCGATTCTCCTCACGTAACATGTGTCGGAATTGCCTCAACATCCTCCTCCATCGGTACTATAACCTCATCACCTGATTCCTAGCCAAATTTCCACTGTAGGATTTTCTAACATTTTATCCTGCATGTGAGACCCGATATATCGCTTGTTCTGGGGTGTCTGTGACCACCACCCCTACAACGTGCATGTGCTGGGTTGCACTGAGAGGCTGTCTGGGTCGTCTGGGGCTGGGTGTGTCGTGCACATGTCACAGGCAGGTCAGTAATACATAGATATGGGGAAAGGTCATCCATGTAGATAAAGATAGAACAAAGAACAAAGGAACAAAGGAACAAAAGAACAAAAGGACAGAATAGAAGAACAAGAGATGAGGAACTGTGGTGCAGGGTGGGGAGTAGAGGTGAGTGGGATGCCAGGTGAGGGCGGGTGGAGCTGGGTCGGGCAGGTGTGCCCTGACAATAACCTCTTGGGAGTCGGCCAGGAGAAGGTGATGGAAGGGAAGTGGGGCTCCGGAGTCAGTTTTGGAGTTCCAGTAGCCCAGAGTGGAGGTCAGGATTGTATGGATATGACACCAAGGTCCTTCCACGCTAAGTCTCCGATCCCATTCCGGAGTTGTCCGAATCTGCCCAATCTAACAAAGGCAACCAAGTCTGGCTCAGTGCCCAAAACTACATGACTGACCGTCTGACCAAAAGCTGGACCACAAATGGCTTGGCCCCTTCAAGATCATCAAAGTTGTTTCCCCGGCCACCGTCAAACTCCAACTTACCACATGACAGAAGGGAATCCACCCAGTTGTATCCGTAACAAACATCAGACCACACCACCTGGATGACATCACAGAACAACCCACTGACCCCCACCCAGGTCCGGAACTTGTAGACAGAGAGGAAGAGTACGAGGTCGAGAAGGTATTGGACTCTAAGTGGCTATGCCAGAAACTCTGGTATCTGGTAAAGTTCATTGGTTGGCCAAGCTCAGAGAACCAATGGCTCCAGCGGGACCACTTAGCCCATGCCCCCGACCGGATCGAGGAATTCCACAGGATGCATCCCCAAGCCCCAGGGAGAGAGAGAGAGAACCATCTGGCCACTTCAAGGCAAAGCAGCTTAAGGAGGGGTGATGTCAGGGCACACCTGCCTGACCCAGGTCCACCTGGGCCCACCCGGGCCCACCTCACCCACTCCCCCATTACCCATCCTTCCTCCTTCCTCCCTCTTCTCCTTCTTCTCTTTCTTCCCTTTCTTCCCTTTCTTCCCTTTCCCCTCTTTCTTCCCTTTTCTCTCTTTCTTCCTTCTCCTTTATTTCATTCTCCCTTCCTGTTTATTCCTTCTATTTACATGGACCACTTTCCCTTGTATCATTGTACTGTTAACCCATCTGGCCCAGACACCCTGGACAGCTTCCCGCTATGCCCAGCATGCATGCCTTGTTATAGGAATGGAGTCTCTCACAACCGTTGTAGGAGAAATAACGGTCACACTATGGAAACCCAGTATGGAAATATGCCAGATAAATCACAAAACCCCATATGACAAGAAAATAGAAGAACCTGAATTTTAACGAACTTTTACGAATTATTACGACTACATACAATAAATTGGAAGAAAGAAAATTAGCAAAAATACTTCAAGCTTAGCATCAACAAGACGGAATTCTCGGGGAAATTTATAGCAAATATTAAACAAATAATTAGGACAATCGACCAAGATTTGACTATAAAAACAACCAGAGAACCTCCACGGAAACTACTTTCCCACACCCGCACACGTAGCCAAGGATGGAAGTACCATGGAACAAGGATTCCTTAGGAACTAATGCAAAATTCAAAGTTGTGTTTATAATAGGAAATGTAGATGTCTCCCAAATGGACCCAATGAAAGTAATTACAGGGAAAATTACCCATAAACGACAGAGATATGACCAAAACTCTTGGGAAACAAGGACAATGTTTAAAAGCCAAGTGCGAAGAACAAGCAGTAACGACCGAGACGAGCTTGATAACCCATTAAAAAGGAAGGGATCTAATCTTAATCCACCCAAATTTTCATAATAAAAGGATCCCACATCAATGAGATACCCAATAACAGGAAGAGCAACATCAAAAGTCTGGGCTCAGGGAAAAGACGACGTTTACGTAGGATCCATATTTAAAACACACAACGAAATTTACACGGAAATTATGATAAATAGGAAACTATAGTTATGCAAATTTTCAGCCCAAACGATCTAGCTGTTGTGAAGTTATACCAACGATGGGAATATAGAAATCCACATCATGTTTAAAGACACGTGAGGGTGGCGATGCGAAGGGAACTGGCCATTGGAACCAAGATCCGCACTTTGGCAGATCACAAAGACCAATTTCCATCCAAATAAGGAAGACCCTGGTCAAAACAAAGCACAGAAAGTACAAAACAACCTTAGATCATGAGGGAAAAATCTGAAATAAATCACGGAAGCCCATATAAAGGATACAAACACCCGAGCAAACCATAAATCCCGAACAATTAGGCGGAAACAGCGCCCACATACAAACAACTATGGGAATGGTGCACATGATTACTGAATGTGCACGTGAACTTTTGCTAACTCGACAAATACCAAGAAATAGAATACAACTTTAGTACCATTGGAAAGGTGGAAATAAATGAAAATTTATGATACCAAGAACGTGAAGAACCATTCAGAAATGAATGAGATACAAGGACATGAAGTTAGAAACCTGAAAACACATGGGAAGACAGCTTCTAGAGGACCAGAGCCCCAAATAAAATACATAAAAAATATGATATCTTCGAGGACGACCTACTATAACAACGAACAATACATATGGAGGACTAGGATGTAATAATACAAAGGGGAATCAGGGCAGATGGATGAAATCCATGAAAACCACTAAACTACAATGGACCATGGTGGGAATTTTAGGGAATGATATACCAATGAAGCGGAGAGCTATAATACATTCATTTGAACAATTCTTGACTACGAGCAACTTTTTCTTTCGGTTCTAAACCTGAATAATTCACTCATTTATCATTTCAAGTCTCATTTCAACTAAATGTTACTGGACAAAAATAGAATAAATCAGCTGAAGGTCTCAGCACAGCCATATGCATAGTAATGCGAAGTTTAAATTTAGAATGACCGAGTCATAGTGAACTTAATGGTAAATATGAGGAATTTGAAATAGAAAACTGCAACAAATGCAGCGCAGTCAAGTTCTAATTAACCATTAAAATAGCTTAGGTGAGGAAGGACAATAAGGATTCTAGGCACAGTCTGACTGCAGTAGAGCCACAGTTCAGCACAGCAGAGCACAGTAGAACTATAGCGTGAAATTTTCATTTTTTATTCAGTTTGAGGAAAACACACTGTAAATAAATCCTGTAAATACGAGGTAGAGCATGAAAAAGGAAGGCAACCCAAGGAGTATAAAAGGGAGACCCTTTCTGCGACTTTTTGCCCCCCTCAGAGAAGTAAGAAAATAGAGTATTATTTTCCTCAAGCATTTCTGGTTGTCACTCCAGCATGAAAAAGTGATATACAGTTAAGATTGCCACTGTAGTAAAAGGCAGCAAATAAGGAGAGGAATATTAAGTAAATATTTCAACAGGAGAGCTGGTTAACACTCCAGATTTCAAAGTGTAAACACAAAACAGGGTGGTTGCTAATGCCGGATCGTGTTGATCCTTGTTGTCATCTGACAACGGCTTTTGGTTTGAATCTCCCATGATGGGAGATTGCGGTTTCTTAATAAACCACTCGTTTCTTTTTAGTGTCACTGCAGATGCAACTTTGCCCTTGTGGGCGTGTTTAGGCACCATAGGCGCTTCTGAGTCAGATGTTAAGATTATGTAGTTGTTGTGGGTTGTGTTGTAAGACACACCTCATACACTTAAAAAGTGTGAGGTCTTTGGGTAGCTCAGCGCACAAAGCCATAAGTGATACAAGTATGTGTATTTTACAGTGGTGTGTAAGCAGTTACCTGGAGGTTCCCGCTTACCCACGTGACTATATGTATCTAATTTACATGTGACTTGGGGTTCAGGGCTATTGCCCTGACATGGGCTTTGGCTCCCAACATCTATTCCCCTTGGCTACTCTGAACCGGGTTGGGTTGCTTTCTGCTATACTGTACTGGCACGACCAACAACCTCTTCCCACGGCCTCTGGGAGTTACCAGAGCCATAAATCAATTCAATTTTGTCGATTTTTAATTCAATCCAAGACCTTCGCGTGATGTGTGACAGGTTGTTGGTTGTGTTAGTACAGTATTATGTGACATCAGGCTTCTACAATTCCGAGAGTCACTCTTGTTGGCACTCTAATCCTTGCTCGCCACTCAGCTTAGGCAGGTGACCAGCCTCTCTTTAACAGGAACACTCAGCTGCCACTGCTCCAAAGCATTTAAAACCTATCCTATTGCTTGACCACCATCTTCCACCACCTCGATGGCACACAATCATAACCCCAGTGGGAAAAATCAATATGATTTTGTCTGTGAGTAGATCTTGCCTCATGCTACTGGTTCACTGTCAGCTCTCCTTCAGCCAAGGCTTCGGATGCCCACCTCACTGAAGCATTGCAGCGATACCATAAGGAGTTCATCACAAACCCTGTGGTAATAAAGGAGCTGCTTGCAGCTGAGCCTGAGCCCATTCATATGAGGTATTTTCTATGTTATGAAAACATTCAGATTCATAACTGTGAGTCTGATTCTAGTGTCCAAACAATCCGGCATCGGAGGAAAGAACTAGGTCTTGTAGGATCTCGTACCACAGCAAAGAAGATGCACTCCACCCATGAAACTCAACTCGTGCTAGACCAGATGGACAAAGATCCAAACATGAGGAGAGGAGTCAGATTGACACATGCAAAGATAGCAATGGAAACAGGAGTCCACCTGAGACAGTAAGTGTTGTTTACTGCTTGGCCTTCCTTACCTTTGCCCCAGCTGAACTGAATCCTCAGGGAGCATGTTAGTGAGATCATGCAGCAATTCGAGCTTGAAGGGTTTGAAAAGCGAGAGCCCTGTGGCAAGAAGATCAGGCGACACCCTATTAGCGTCGGCCCAGGTGCAGAATGGAGTGGTGATGGCCATGAGAAACTGAAGAAAATAGGCTTCTCAATCTATGGGATACACGACGTTGCAACAGGGAAATGGCTGAAACTCAAGTTATTACCTGATAACCGCTTGAAGGAGACGATTGCATATGTTTATCTTGAGTTGGTTGAAGAGCTTGGTGGTATGTGCCTGGCTGTTATCACTGCACCGCTGTTCCTCAGTAGCCTCAATCATAGGGATTCCAGTTCAATCGACAATGGACCATGGATCAGAGACTACTGTCAGGAACGTGCCAGACATGTATCCAGGTGACCTGCAAGGCACGTGAAGTCATCTGGACCCATAAGGTCGGAGGGGCAGGACTTTAGCTTCAGCGACTCAGGTGGAGTGCTGCACTTCGTTCTTATGTTGGTGTCCCAATTTCAGACAGGAGCCTTATGATGAAGAGAGGAGTCTAGAGGGGGAATCCAAGTCGATATACGAACTAAGGTACATCCGGTGTAACCTACATGCGTTATAAACACAAGTAACTAAATGAGACCGGCCCGGAAGGAGTGGCATATCAAGCACGATATTAATGAATGAAGAAAGGAACAAATAGTTAATATCAGCAAACTTGGTCAACAAAAGGCAAGCAAGGAACAAAAGGAAGAACAATAGTCCGCAAGTGGACAAAAGAGAAAGAACCATCCAGCTGTCTAGCAAGCTGTCTGGCTGGCAAGTGGACAACAATGAAGCAGGCAACCTAGGTTGGAAGGTATGCATGTGAGGGAGGAAGTGCAGATGAGGGTGATGGGTGGACGGGTGGGTGGACGGATGATGATGATAGTGGGAGGGATGGGCCAAGTGGCAATAGGATGCGTTGACAGAAGTGACGGATATGTCGGGTCGTGACAACTACACTTATGTGTGCATATGGTCATACTTTACAGTTTGTGGTTTTGTGAATCCTTACGTTCGAGATATGTGACATATCTTGCATGTTAGGGAATTTTTCTATCCTGAACTGGACAGCGATGAGCTTCCAGTTCATCATTTTACTTCCAGTACCTGCAATATCATGATTGAAAGGTGATGGCTTCGGCTGTGTGAGGATTTTGGTGATAAGATGGTCCTAGTGTTTAGGCAAGGAGAGCAAGAGGGGATATACAATCCTGGAAACCTAGTGCACTAGTAAGTAGTTCTGCGCATTTCACAACATAATCTTACCACTTATCCTAGTGCTTTGTGCCGGTGGCTCTGGTCATTTTTCCTGACTCAGGAATCGGATAAATGGCATTTAGAGCAAAATGCCTTTAGGGTTTGCAAACTCAACAACAAGGTTGGGCCTTCAGGAGTCTCTGCAAATATTGCCTATGTGCTCCCAGGGAAGTTTGGCATGAGGAACATGCTTTTATGGGACATCAATGTCAAAATTGTCCGTCACATGAAGGGAGAACTTTCCAGTGATTCCCTTCAATTTGTGCCCCTGGAGTATGCAGAGAGTGCTAAGAAAATATATGACTCCTTGAATGTCCATGAACTCTCAATTCACAATGTGTGGGTCATCTTTTGCAAAATGTTGTCCATGATGTAGAACCGACACTGGCTTTTCTAGTATTCTATTTCCAAGGATAGAAGCTTAGAATAATTCAAACAATGTTGACAAATTACCCTAATCATTGTCTGCTAGCTCATCTTCCTCATTGTGGCCAGAAAATTGTTTGCTAGAGCCCGGCCCTTCCCTCCCCTCCATTTCAGTCCCACTCTTTCTACTACTATCATCGTCATCTGAGTCGGTGTCCAAGCCAATGGCAGCACAAATCTTGTTACACTTATGTCCCTTGAGATATGCATTTATTGCACGGACTCCTTCATCGAAGTAACCCAGTCCAAGATTTGTGCCATCTGATCTAAGGTGTGGTTATAAGTTATAGTCATTCACCATTGTAATCAGATGGGACTTGCCTGAAATTAGATGAGTGCCCTTGGGGATCAAAAAGCATCCAACAGCTGGCATTGGAGGAACCACTCCAAATACCTAGTTGTAGAAATAAATATTTTCCCAAAGAAGTAAGGAGTCTAAGTAAGGAGTCTTCACATACCTTGAAGGTCGGTAATCAAGTATTTTCTGCTGGACACCCTGTTAGTACAATGCTGAAATGCATCCATAGTATTATGCTCAGATGGACATAGCGATGGCTCAACATCGACCGCGGACCCAGTGAACTTCTGAAATCCTTGTGCTTGGGGTGGATGGGGAAGAAATTTGGTGGCAATAAATGTATCATATGGAAGAATGGGCTCCAACAATGCATGTGGCATTTCCTCAACTAGGGTCCCTATGAACATCCCATCAGTGTTGAACTGGATGCCTATTGATCATGGTTTAGTTGGCTGTAAGAATATGGGACATGCATACTTACTAACAAAATCACTGCATCTAAGCGTGCAATCTTGAACTGCCCATTTCACATTGTTCATGAAGTTCATGGCAAATTGTTGGGCCATTCCTGTGATATGAAGCTCACACTCCAGGTAGTACTTGACCTCCTTTTCAGTATGCACTGATTGCTTCGGCACACAGATTGCTAAGCCATGTTCACCTTCCCGACCCTGATGTGGGCACTTAAGTACAGATCAGGGAATAAAGCACAAGTGCACTACTCACATAGATCACGACTTTTGAGAACCCATCCCCAATGTACCCCAATGCATAAAACAATTGACCAGCCTTTGCTAATTCTAAGCCATCATGCCAGTTTCCCACAACCAGAACCTCCACTGTGTTGGGGACATCCTTGACTTTGGGAAGGCCACTCTCCAAACTCAGAACACGCTTTTTGATTGTCATCAGTATCATTTTCCCTTTGAAAGTTGAGTAGGATTTGACTTTGCTTGGGCAGGATATGACTGTTAGAACTGGGCGAGGGTGGACAATTCTGGAGGGGAACTGGAGACTTAGCAAGGAGGGACCTTGGCCTCAGCAACTCATGTGGAGTGCTGTGCCATTGCTGTTTGTCCATTTGGTCCTTAATTTCAGAGGCATTGAGCAGGAAGTCTCTAGGGGGCATTTCAGGTCGATTTTAGACTAAGGGCCTAAAATGAGTATGTACAAGTGCGAGTATATAATGGAGAGGGCAAAAGCATGAGGAAACAAAGAGGGTCCGAATTGGAACAAAGGTGTCCAAACAGGACAAAGGGAAGATGAAAGCAGAGCGGTACCAAGGGTCATAGGTCAGAACCTGTGGTACATCTGAAAGGAGATAGGGAGGGCGAAGCCCAGAGGGGCAGGAAGGTGGGTGAAGTGGGGATGATGACTAACTGACCAGAATGGGGAGAAGCAGCAGTCTAAATAAGGATGAGGGGAAAGCGCAAAAGATACATTACAAGTGGCAAAAGTGCCAGGTATGATCCGTGGAGCTTGGAGGTTATGGAGGTTATGGAGGCGGGGTTGAAAGTCTGAGGAATGTTGGCAATGGTGTTTATGTAGTATGAGGTCACCAATGCAATGGACTTAAGCCAAGGTGGAGTCAAAGTCTGAGGTCGGAACTATGACAGAATCTCGGAGCAAAGGTACAGTGTCTGAGTACAGGGTATGGGATAGCGGTGGAGGGTCGTAACTTGCCGGAGGTTTGGTGGAAGAGGGGAGGAGGGAGGAGAGAGAAGAGAGGAGCAGGGAGAGGAGTGGAGGAGAGGAAAGGTGTCAGGTCCGAAGGTGAGTATTGGAGCGGACGGAAGTAGGGTAGGAGAGTAATGGAAGAGTGGAGGTGTTGTGAGGAATAAGAGGAGAAGGGTGGCGAGAGGAGTGAGAGGAGGAATAAGAGGAGGAGGGTGGTGAGAGGAGTGATGTTTGGTCCGAAGGTGAGTATCAGAGTGGATGGAGATAGGGTAGGACTCTGGAGGTGGTGAAGATGGGGGTCTGGGAGTTGAATCAGGATCAGGTATGTACAGATATGACAATGACATTGAGTAAGTCAACATTGGGGTCTACCCATGGTGTGCTCTTGTAGAGTGGCTTATGGGCACAAGAGCACAGACATTTTGATTCTGAGTCTAGAGGGGATGGTGAGTATCATATGAATAAGAAACTACCAGAATAATACTTGCCATTATCCTCTGCATGGTCACTCTTCTGTTTCCTACTTTTTTGGGGGGATGGAGGGATCTGATGTGTATGGTGAGATTGGGGAAAAGGTTTAATGCCGCTTCAAAACTTACAGGGTGTCAGGGGACGACTCCTGGGTCCCCATGACCCTCCCCTATGGCCCACAGCCTCAGGTCTGGCCAGCCCTATCCAGGGCACAATCTACTGTGGGTAAGGAGATGTATAGATAAAGGCAATATAGAATACACCTGCCTACTGTGGGTAAGGAGATGAGAAGGAAGCTAACTTCTCATCTTCCCACAGTGGCCACAATATCAGCAAAACTTCCGGGGATACCTGGAAGTCACATGAAGGGGTAGGAACCGGGCCCGGAGCATGTGGCGTGCGGAGCATGCGGCGTGTGGAGCGTGCACACATGTGGGAAGGGCGGCAGGTGGAAGTGGGTCTGGACACGGGTCCGGGTCCGGGCTAGTCAGGGTGTGTGCCCTGACACAGGGTCAGTCAAGTTAGAGCAGATGTGCAAAGTGATCTGCTGCTCCTTGACATCATCTGCACTGATGTGATGCTTAAGTGCGAGGTGATTAAATAACTCAGCAATCATATTCCCCCTCCACTCCGATATCGAGAGTATCACATATCTGGGCCGTTTATAATTCACATGCCAGTAGAATGTCAGGATGTCGCTATGAAGGTTAAATATAAGCACCAAAACGATGGAACAGAATGATTCTATCCATGTTCTACTCACCTTTTGACCTCTGGCAATAACAGATATAATTTACTATGACTTTGACAAAATTTGAACAGAAGGTCGGCCTCCACCACGGATACATAAGCCTTATTTTCATAAGTTTCATTGAGTCGCAAGGGGTTGAGCTACAGAAGTGCATCAAATAAGCGAACACAACTCAACTGTGAGTCTTACCTGCACCAACTTATTTTTCTCAGTGCAAAAACCAAGAACATCAACCCTAATTGTTTGGCCTTGGACAGTGGCAATTCTCTGCTGGTATGCTGCATGTAAACCATGGTTTGACTGTTTTTCAGTCATAGCATGCTGAAGGGCTCCATTCTGCAATCGACCTTTTGCGAGGCACTGGTCTGAAACATTTTGGTGGTGGTGCTGGAGCTGCATGCTAAGTCCAGTGAGGATGTCATCAAGAGGTGGTTCAACTGGGGCTTCAGTGGCCAAAGGTGGTGGCAGGGGATGTGACAATGTAGAAGAGCCGCTGGCAATGCCGGAAGGTTGCATGTTGAAATCAGCCAATGTTTTGGCAACAAGTGAATCCTTAAACACTCGTTCTGGAGCCCCATGTTTCACTAGAAAACAAAATGAGAGAACATAAGACTGAATGGAAATATTGGGCATACACAAATGATCAATGCATGGAATGCATACAACAATTTCTCCACATCGAAAGTAGACACCGCAAATTCGGCACTGTGCAGTTCGTCGAGCCTTCACATCCTGTGAGCCTGTGTCTATGCATGCACATCATGTGGGTCAATGGAGTCTTGTGCTTGTTAGACACTGGTCTGGGGTTGGCACCGAAGGTCGCCTATGCGGGCCGCTATTGGCTGTGATGGCCGTGATGCCGCGAACAAGGCCCAAGGGTAGGGCATTCAGCCTCAGCAACTCTAAAGGGAGTGCTGTGCCCCCTAGCTGTCTCTTGGCCCTCATTTCAGACTCACTGGGGTTGCCTTGCTGGGGTCAGGACTTAGGGGTCGTGGTCACATCGATATTAGAGCTAAATGTCAGGGCGTGGGAATACGTTACCGTGACTCGCCGTCGGCGACCATTAAGGTCCGCTGCTTCGGCGTAACAGCCCGTCAAGGGCGGGGATAACAATCGCGGCGGAAAGGGGTTTCGGCTTCAACAACTCGTTCGTGAGCGTTGCGCCTCGTACTTGATGCGGCCCCGATATTTCAGGAGGCAGGAGGTGCGATTGGGTCGGACAGAGAGTGCGGGGGGTAACCCTAGTTGATTTTCGAACTGCAGAACTAGGTAGTGTACAACCGGTATTTAAGTATAACGGAATGAATGGGATTGAGTCGCCAGATCTCATGGAGATTGCGGGCGGGGTTAAGAAGAAGCGAAAACAAACAAAGAGTGTGGGAGAAGGACGGCCGTGTACGGCCATCAAGAAAGACAAGTGTGATAAAGAACGACTCGTAGGCCTGTGACGGGCCGTGGAAACAGGTAGTGGTGATGGGGAAGGGTGGCAGGCTTGTCCAGGTGGCGTCGGGCGGGTAGCGGGGTTGACGGGGTCGGAGCGGGGGAGGAAGAAGGCTTGGGGAGTGATCACCTGACCGTGGGAATTGCCGGGCCGTGACACTAAAGTACTATAATGTAGTATACAGGATATATATAGGAGGAAGAAATGAATGGAAGCGGACCCGGGCCGAAGGCCGAAGGGTCCGGAAGCAAACAAGGATAAGGAGCGGGGTTGGCCGCATAGCGGCTGGCAATGACCGAGGGTCAAAACAAACAATAACAGATAAATAAAGGAAAGAGCGTAGGGCCACGATAGCGGCGATGGTATCATAGCGGCGCTGGACTCGGAGTTGGGCTGGAGTCGGGCGTGGGGATGATAGCGGCCCTGTAGGGGCCAAGTGGGCGGGGTAGGGGAGTCGTGCTGGGCACAGTGCTGGAGGCAGACTCAGGGTGGGAAGGCTGGTGCAGCAGCGGGGGAGTCAGCCAAGTATAGGGAAGCCTAGGGGCAAGCAGGGGAGTGAGCAGGGAGTCCTCAGGGAGGATAGGGCTGAGGTTGGGGCTCGTGCTCACGCTCGCATAGCGAGAATGGGCTCGGGCAGCATCAGGATGGGCAGCTAACGGGCCGGAATGCACGGCCGTGACAGTGCTGCAGTGAACCCAGAAACTCACAAGGGCGTTCTGATGGAGGTTCAACGAGCTGAAATTATTCTCACCACCCTCTGCCAGCAAAATCTGACGATTGGTCAATTCTTTGCAATCATTTTAGACCCAGAGAATGAAGATAAACTAACCCAAAACTCACAATCTGCACTTGCCACTTTTCTCCAAGGATGGACCAAGACAGGAACCCAGCCCATCGATGCTGTGCAACTAATGTTTCACCATTGGTTGAGTCAGGATAGACTGCATGAAACTAGCACCACTTACCATCCCCTTCCCAGATATGCACGACCACCTGCCATCCCATCATTCCACCCGGATATTCCTGCAACATGCGCGATGGCAGGTGTGATGCTAGTCCCAGGATTTGACAACATAAATGTTTGGGATGGAGTGAGGGCTCACAATAGTTTGAAGCAGTATTTCCTTCGCGAAGTTCTGGATGAGATTAACAGTGAGATGAAATCCCTCGTTAAAGAAAGCACCCTCTGTGCGGATGGTTCTATAGCACTCACCTGGGCCAAAATGATGACATTCTCATTCACACACCCAGGAGCTGATACAGAAGAGAGCTCTGGTGATGTGGTCAATCCTCACAATGGCAGCAGTTGGCAATGGGAACGTTGGCCGCTTGTTGTCTATGCAAAAAGAAGCCCAGGAGGGTGCGAGAGGGCGTGGCACAAATAACATGAGAGACCTGTGGCTGGTGAGTGAAAGAAGCTCTGCTTACCTGGTGTGCTGACGCTGCTCTATAGGGATGTACTGTGACAGATTTAATCCTGGCGTACTTCCGTTCTGTGAAAGCGAACATGATGCAGACAGTAATTGGCAACACCCTATTCACAACTAGTGCTCACTGGTCAGTCCATGCCATGCTGGGTCGCATGGGTATCGCAACAGCATACAGCAGTACCATTGGATGACTCCACAGTCTCAGATTAGATAAGAAAGCAACATTGAAAGCAATAGGGCACACAGTTGTTGCAGGAAAAGTTCAGATTCACCTCCTTTATGACAACATCAATCAGTACCACCAGGCATGGAGAGCCAACTTGACGACTCAGAGTGCGCTGGAAAGCGGGATGGCAGCAATGGTCATTGTAAATCCGGATGTGGATCCAAAAGCGTTCGATGGCCCAGGGTATTACCAACGGAAAGCCGAGGCTACAGGAAAGGGAGAACTCACATTTGAGAAGCTCAAGTTGGACCTTGATGCCAGCCAGTTGGAAAGTGCTGCAATTGCAAATATCCTAAGGATTCTCACCAAATACATCCCTGAGTTGGCACGATTCAAGCAGGATGTCGACAATTTCCAATACAAGAAGCATTCAAAGCACCGCATCAAGCTGGAGAAGACAGAGTACCATCTACTAGAGTGCTCGGGCTTTAATGAGGCCTACACTCAGGGAAACCGCGATGTCATTCTTGATGCGTTTGTCTGTCAGTTAGGAGTCAGCCGCAAGGAATTGGAAGGGAGGCAGTTTCCGGTGTCCAGCAATCAATCTACCATTGCACACATTCACACGTTGCTTGCACAAACATCGACATGCCGCACCTGGTTTACTTCTCATAAATGGGTCCTTCCAGTCATCGAACTTTGGCACATGAAATGGACATTTCTGAAGGGTATTTACAAAGCGCACTGGGCATCTAAAGTCGGCAAAGGCGATATCGGTCTTCGCTTTGCAGCTGATCGACTGGGGTGCAAGATTAACCCTGATAAAGTCGACTTCTATCCAGGTTTCCGGCTTGCTGAGGTTGTTCTAATCACCATGACTCTCCATTTTTCCAGGTAAACATTCGTTCCCACTTTCAATTCGTGTATTTCGACTGATGGGAACATTGGAAGAACCATATTACATGGACACTCAGCACCCCAATTATTGGTGTCTTCAGGTCGTGCTGATACGCTCCACCTCTTGGAAGAACTGAGGACTTACTGTAAGCCTGGATTCCCCTTACACAAGTGTGGTTTCTCATTTCTCCTTCAGCTTGTGCGTACCATATATACAACCTACGGAACTACTGAGGCCACAACATATGCTCAACATCATAATACCAGCACTGCCAAAGGGTTTTTTAGTGTGCATGTGCCCAATGTCCCCACCCCCAACCCCAGTCCCTTCCCCCAATTGTCACCTTCGGACCCTGATCTTGACCATGGGCTTTCCATTATGAGCGCTGACGATGACAACAACAATCACAACACAGATAGGTTGAGCAACGGTGCTGGTGCGCCACTTCCTAGCCCAGCCTCCGTTCTGCCTCAGCGCCGGACAGACCTCAACAATGCAAGTGAGGATGTGCAGCCTGCCCCTTCAGCTGACAATCCTGAAGGTGACACACTTCTTTATAACAACATTCTCCTTTATCGCGATCTCTTGCATCTTTATGAGTTCAATACAAGTGTACATGATGGTGACATTGGCCAGACATATGAAATCATCAAGGTGTTCATTCCATGCTGTCCCCACATAGAAGCGCTTACATTTGATTACAGTGGCTCTGCTTTTATTTTTTTGGGGTTGGTTCCCCAAACTATGGTAATGAACTTCTTCACCAAGTGTGTGACTTTTGGTGGCATTTGTCACCAGAGACCCGCTTGATGATACTCACTTGTTATTTGGTCAACCCTTCTGGATTGCCAGGGCAGTTCCACAAGTGCGATCCTCTCCAAGAGCACCTCAACTTTTGGCTGAAGCATGTTTTCAATGGGCAGAAGAACTGTCAGGGGATGTGTGTGCTTGTGCAGATTGCTCCGATAACCTAGTTGTGATTAAAGCCGGGGGAAAGGGACATCCCCATCTTAGGGTCAGCTATATACATGTAGAGTCCGGCAATAAGGAAACCAAACGGATTGCCGATAGAATCACGTGATCATAGAATGTTCCAGAACAATGCCGGAGATGATCTGGGCCACCGGGGCTTAGGTAAGCGGAGTAGATGGGAATTACTGGCATACTTCCCATGCACATATGCGCAGCCGGCATAGGGTCCAGGGTCGTTACTGATCCCTGACAAGAATGCATTTGACTCAAGTTTTCTATGGGAAGCTGTATCTCTAAACATTGTCAATCTCCGTGAGCTCCTACAAAGCTTCTTGGGCATGCTTGGGATTGCTCGAGTGCACCCAGGTCGAACCCAAGCAGACATAGAGGCTGATATCAATCATCTCGGCCTTAGCTATCTTCAATATTCACTGCACCAATATTCTCCTGGCTGCAACCAAACAACAATTTCCCTATATGGTTTTGCATGCAGAGAGGAAAAAATCAGGAAAGTACTTCCAACGTTCCTTCAGAAATACATGATATGATGACTATCATTCTTTATTATGACACATCGTTACATCTTACAAGTTCTATTCAACATCCTGATCAGCATTTGCAGCCTTTATTGTGAGTTTGATTGACCTTTTCCCCACTTGTCAGGGCCTCCCAAGTATAGTTGCTGATGATGTCTCTCCTTCACCCAGTGCACCATTATCGTCATCTACCATCCTGTTCAGTGCTTTACGCTTACGAGATCCCTTCCCCTCCAGTTCTCTCTCCCATCTCTTATTGGAATCCTTGATCACCTCAATCAGCAATTCTGTCTCTGGAGTGTCCAATCCAAATTCCCGGCCCCAAGCCTCAACAAGCACCTCGCATCTTTCCCTGCAATATCCTTGGTGCATTCCTGATGCCAATTGTTCCAGGGATTGATCCGGTGTAATGTCAGGGACAGCTCCGAAAGCAGTGAGGTCCCAGTGCAAGGGACTCGATGGGACAGATGTCGGCTATGCGTAGCAGCGGTCCCATTGCGGGGTGAGCATCCCTGACCACTTAGTCTGAAGTGGGAAGTTGAGAAGAAGGCTGCTTCTTCTGTTCCCACCCCAGGCACTATTATATACATGCGGTTGGGGTCACATGGGAGGAGCCACATCATCTCTGCACACAGCCACACTTCCCTGGGTATCTCTGCGGGAGATCCCGGAGGTGTGCCGCTCTGTGAGTGGGAATGTGTGTGGCGATTGGGGGAGCGGGGTTAGGTGTGTAGTGATACATAGAGAAGGGGAAGTCAACCGTGGAACAGAAATAGAAAGAAAGAAAGAAAGGGAAAAGAAGAAACGGGGAGTGATAGCGAGGGAGCGGAGTAGGGCAGTGCGGCACAGGGTCAGGTGGGGTGTGCCCTGACATGTAACAACTGAGGGGCCATCGAGGTTTGTCACCTCCTGAACCCCCATTTCTTTACACATTGACCAGATATTCTCTCGCCAGTTCCATAGGAGCTTCAGGGAAACCTTTATCATCCCTGGACTATACTTCTCCAGGTTCTGGTCATCATGGGGCAGTGAAACAAGATTAGCATTCCTTGGTCATGTAAGTTTTTCCATATAGTGATCCGTTGCTGATTGATAATCATTTGGTGGCCCAGGTGTGCATCCAGGAGCCTCACAACATTGCTCTGGTCGATAGTAGGGCTCATCATAATATCCACACGACACACACTGATAGCACTTTGGATGACCTGGGTTGAAATACTCCACAAATCCCAGTGCACATTTATCTCGGTAAGCCACCTGTGCTGCAAGGGTGTTCTTTGACAACTTCTTCTTGTTGGCTTGGTCACCATAGAGGTCAAAGTTATTTTCGATTTGTATTTCATCAGGTGCATATATTATAACATGGCCTCCACTCCCATCACGGCTTGCCTGGCCATTCCACTGAGTCATTGACTCAAAGTCTGCAGGAAGGTCAAGGATGATTACGTCCTTGACTGACATGTCAAGCCCAACGTTACCCACTGTTGTCGTGACAACTATCTGAACAAGCCCCTGTTCAAGCTCCAGAAGAGTTTGGATGCGATCCTCTTGTGGTATAATCAAATGGAATGGGAAGACCAAGCTGCATTCTTCAGTTATAAAAGCCTTCAGCTGGGTACGTAGCCATTTTACTAGTGCATCGGCAATTGCAATGGTGCCAACTGCAATCAGAGTAGGTCGTATAACATTGGGGCTTGCAAGATCATTGGGAACAAGCCATGCGAGATCTGGGAACTCAGTCCCATGTATTGAATGTTTCAGGATACATGCCCCATAGACCAGGTCTTGGTGGTCAATTGGGAGTGATATATCTTGAAATTGTTCTCGTTGAAAACCTAACACATTTTGCATTTTAGGTCGCGCAATTGTGGGATCCATTGAGCCTGACATTGCTAGGAAGGTAACATTGGAGGGAACCAGTGCCCAGAGGGTACCAATGGATTTGTACGCTTCTCGGAAACTTCGTGACCAAGGTATGACTAGGTGTCAGGGCCCAGCCCTCGTTCTGTGATGGGCCCAGGGGGATCCTCCTAGTCGCTGGGGTATCTAGTCCCAGTCCGAGGTCTTCAAACTCACTGAGGGGGCTGGCCCCAGCCTTCACAGGAAATGAGTTGCTACGCATTTAGGGAGTAGCTAGTTACACTTGCTTCATGTCAGGGCACACCTGCCTGACCTGGCCCCAGCTGACCCAGTCCCCCATCACCCACCTGACCCAGTTCCCTGCTACCCACTCCTTCCCTACTTCCTCTCCCCTTTTCTCTTCCTCTCTTTCTCCTTCCTTTCTCTTTCTTTCTTTCCTTATTACATGGATGACTTCCCTCCTATCAGTGTACCATTGGCCTGGCTGCAGTACAACACACCCGGATCTGCCGGGTGGCCTCTCACACACCAGGTGCTCCTGGGATCTCTTGCAGAGATACCCAGACAGATGTGGCTGTGTGCACAGATGACATGGCCTTAACTACATGTATATAAACACAGCCTAAGTGGGAACTGAGAAGCAACCTTCCTCTCACACTTCCCACTTTAGCCTAAGTGGCCAGGGACCCTTGTCTGCTTCGGGCCCGTTGTTACACATGCCTGCACTACACCCTACCGGGCCCTCAGCCCTGGGCAATATACCCAGATGCTCTCGACCCCGGGTCGGTCCCTGACAGCAGAAGAAGGTTTCAACTCATCTCCCCCCACCTCCCCTGCCATGGTGATGCAAGAACAGTATGATGACTTGCTGGCCCAGTTCCAGGAACTACAGGCCATTGTGATAGCCCAAGCCCAGGGCCAGCCCGCACATGTGCCCAGACCACCCAAGGTTGCCCCCCCCACCCCCTTCTCAGGAGTCAGTGAGGACCTCGACTGCTTCAGGGCTGAATGTGGGATCTATCTCTATGTCTGCACAGCCAAATTCCCCAGCACCCTCTCCCAAGTCCTCTTCATGCTTTCCTACATGAAGGGAGGGACTGCAGGAGCGTGGGTGATGCAACACACCATGGCACTACTGACAATGGGCTCTCACACACCCACCATGGACGAGTTCAATGTGGAACTCGATGCCATGTTCCAAGACCTGAACCGGGTGGCCACAGCCCGGCAGAGGTTGGCTACCGTCCAACAGGGGAGTGATCCCATGGACAAGCTCATCCAGGAGTTGAGATATTGGGGCCCACTTCACAGCTGGGCAACGTAGGGCTAGTCGACCACTTCGAGTGGGCAATCAACTCCTGGCTCTGCAAGAGCATCTACCAGCTCCACCCTATGCCCACCACTTGGTCCAAATGGAAACATGAGTGTCAGGGACAGCTCTGAAAGCGGCGAGGTCCCTGTGCGCAGGACTCGGTGGGATGAGTAGCGGCTGTGCATAGCGGTGAAGGCGCGGAGCTGGATCACCTTATGTAACCAGTTTCCTATGTCCAATAACGATATTAGAGTTTGTGCTGATTTGCGTACTGACCGTGTTTTGGTTGCCAAATATATGATTGTTCACTGTCTAAACAACAATAAACACCCCCCAACGATCTCACCTGATGTATAGATCGTCTACGGATAAAATTCTATATTGACTTTACTATGATTTCTAGTCAATATTACACCTATATTTACCACTTTTCAGTAGGATGTGATTTTCCTGATAATTTACTGAAGGAAAACTGCTAATAAAATAATTCCGCAATAAATGTTACTCAATACAGGAGTGACCAAACTGCTCTTTCTATCGCTTAGAGTGCGTGCTAGTTATCTAGCAGGTTCAGGATCGCTCACTTTTCTCCTGTGGTGTGATAACCAAGTATTGCTGAGAGATTATTCAATTAAGAAGTCCCTCCACCAAATTCTCACTAATTCTCACTATGACACTTTTGTTCAGCTGTGTCTAACTGACCCTAACTCACGCTTAGAGTGACGTGTTAGTTTTATATTAGCTAACAACTAATATTTGCTTTTATCTTTTGGAGCAAACGAACCAACCACTGGTGAGGAGAATTAAACTTTTATTTCTACCTGAGGTTTGAGAGGGGGCAGAAGCGGTGGCCTTTTATGCTTTTCAGAGGCCTCTCTACTCCCACGCCTCGCACTAGTTACATGTGCTACATTTGTATTATAGATAGTTCTAGAATGATATAGGGGCTTGGGCTGTGTAAGCTTAATAATGGACTTAGGACATGACTCAGCAATAAGTAATTCATTTCTTTGTCTTTTGGGCCGATCTCAGCGGGATCTTGTAGCGCTGAAGCTATGCTCTACACCGCCTTAATCACGAACGGTTATCTTTAGAAATGACTCGGCTATAAAGGAACTTTCTAGACTGTTCTCTAATTGACCCCTTTTTGTGAAGCCACATCATTACTAATGTTCTAGAGCCTTCCCAATTAATTAACTGATCCGCGGACTTCTGAATCACTTCATGCTTATGATCCGAGATCCAGATCATCAATCATTCCTTTGTTCCGATTTATTTGGGCTTAAAATCAAAAAGTTTTGATGAATCATGGGAAAATATACAAGATCCGGTTTTTTAGCATTTTCTCCTCTTCTGATGCGATCAAAAACTGTCCGCCCGCGCCGGGGAATACTCTATCATATGGTATTCGGTCCGCCAGACTTTCGGGCGCCAATATATTTCCCTTGAGTCACATTACCTTTTGTAAGAATTAGCAAATAAATATATATGAATTATAAGGTGTTTCGCCGTTTGAGCGATATCTCCGTCAGTTTTGAAGCTTTTAGAATGAAACAGAACCGTGGATACAGTTAAGAAACAGTCCTTCCAGATGGTAAAAAGATTACAGTCAAAAGTTTACTGGTTCCCGAGATATTTACATTTCTTTCCCAATGTTCCTTCTTATTCTGCCGTCTATGTGCTATTTTCTTGTTGTAGGGATATATTCTTTGAATATTACACCTATGTCAAGTTCTAGGCATGATTGTAGTAGATTAAATCTCATACTACATGGGTGTAGATATTTTATAATGATCTTCTAATGTCTGTCCAGTCTCATAAAGATCATGAGATCTGTTAAACGTCTGAACTTGTCACCTGTTCGTTGACTATTCTGATAGATCATTGTTTTATTCTTTGAATATTATTTCTCCTACAGCGGCGATCCCGTTGTGGGGTGAGCGTCCCCGACCACTTAGTCTGAAGTGGGAAGTTGGGATTATCATTAAAGAGGAAAGCTACGGTACTTACCTGAAGTGGGAAGTTGAGAAGAAGGCTGCTTCTTCTGTTCCCACCCCAGGCACTATTATATACATGCAGCTAGGGTCACGTGGAGGAAGCCACATCATCTCTGCACACAGCCACACCTCCCTGGGTGTCTCCGCAGAAGATCCCGAAGGTGGCCGCTCAGTAGGCGGGAGTGTGTGCAGCGCATGCAGCGATCGGGGAGGCAGGGTTAGGTATGTAGTGGTACATAGAGAAAGGGAAATCGACCGTAGAATAGAAATAGAAATAGAGATAGAGAGGAAGGGGAAAGTGGGGGAGGAGAGATGGGGAGTGATAGCGGGGTAGTGCGGTCCGGCATGGGGTGCAGCACGGGGTCGGGCAGGCATGCCCTGACAGTGAGGCCAGAGGATACAGCTGTGCATGCCCTCACCCAAACCCCCTCCCCCACTAGTCCTGCCTGTGACTCCTGTAACCCGCCCCAGACCAGAGACGAACCTGCACCCAGAGGCCCACCAGACCCAACGCTTGCACCTGGAAGACCTCCAAATGTTGATGAAGGGGCTGAGGGGCCAAGTGACGAAAGGATCAGAAGCAAGAGGGAAGGGGCTAGGCATGGGCCAAAGAGGGTGCCTGGAGACCCAGCCGCCCATGAGGGATAGCTCACACAGATGCCATGACACACACAAGTCGCTACCAGCACCGAAACTCCACTGAGTCATTGCAAAGAAAAAGAGGAAGGGAGCACCCCCAACCCACAAGGACGTGAAAACCGCAGAGATGACCCCAGAGGTAGCAGTGTCCCCATCCGCTATCTACATCCTCTCCAGACACTCTCCGAGATTGTCACGGCCGTGCATTCCGGCCCGTTAGCTGCCCGTCCCGATGCTGCCCGAGCCCGTTCCCGCTATGCGAGCATGAGCACGAGCCCCAACCTCAGCCCTATCCTCCCTGAGGACTCCCTGCTCACTCCCCCACTTGCCCCTAGGCTCCCCTGCACCTGGCCGACTCCCCACAGCCACACCAACCTTCCCACCCTGAGTCCGCCTCCGGCACCGTGCCCAGCGCGACTCCCCTACCCCGCCCACTTGGCCCCTACAGGGCCGCTATCATCCCCGCGCCCGACTCCGGCCCAACTCCAAGTCCAGCGCCGCTACGATACCATCACCGCTATCGCGGCCCTACGCTCTTTCCTTTTATTTATCTGTTATTGTTTGTTTTGACCCTCGGTCATTGCCGGCCGCTATGCGGCCAACCCCGCTCTTTGTTCCTATTTGCTTCCGGACCCTTCGGCCCGGGTCCGCTCCTATTCATTCCACCTTCATATATATATCCTGTACACTACATTATAGTACCTTAGCTCTAATATCGATTTGACCACGACCCCTAAGTCCTGACCCCAACAAGGCAACCCCAGTGAGTCTGAAATGAGGGCCAAGAGACAGCTAGGGGGCACAGCACTCCCTTTAGAGTTGCTGAGGCCGAATGCCCTACCCTCGGGCCTTGTCTACGGCATCACGGCCATCGCGGCCTATAGCGGCCTGCTAACGGCGACCTTCGGTGCCGACCCCAGACCAGTGTCTAACAGAGATCCCTCAACCTTGCTGTGAAGCTGACCACCCTGACCACCCTGGCCTCTGTATCCATGTCAGCACTCCTCGACTTGGGAGCCACTGGGAACTTTGTAAGCCCCGAGTTCGTCCGAAAGCACAGGCTCGAGACCACCCCACTCCCC